GCTCCGTGGTGGGCAAATTGGTACCAGACTTGTCTGGGAGGATAACAGCACTGGCTGGATGCATCGGTAGGCCACCGGGAGCCATTGTAAAGGCCAGATATGTATTCAATCATCTCCAAACTATGGTTAGTGAGGACTAGTGGCTCATCCCTCAGGGATTGATCAACTCCGAGAGCTTTATCCTTTATCTTTTATGATCTTGCCCAAATCTAAAACGAGGATCATACAAAATGCAGCTCGATTTCGTCTATATCATAGCTTAACCCTAGACTGTAAGTCACATACACTGTTAAGCGGTTCTTGTAGTGTAGTGGCGACAGGTGCCCTGCAATGCACAGGTGGTCACTGGTCAGATCCAGCGCTTGTGATCGCGAACCCATCCATCCCTTCACGGTCGGTAAATCGATCCTAGGCTTTCTGGGAGTACAGCAGCACTGACTGGATATACTGATTGGCTACTGCAAGTCATTGTATGGGCCAGATAAGTATTTAATCACTTCTGCCGATGCTAGGTAAAATGGAATGCATGACGCATCCCTCAGGATTGATCTACGATGAAAGCTTAATCCTTGTTTGGTGGCCTATCAAAACCGACATTAGCACTAATCCCTTCATATGAAATCGTCTAATTCAGAATGACAATCGTTCGCATAGATCGATGCATAACGAAGCTGAGGCATAATTCTCTAATATCCTCAATGGTAGCATTCAATGCCAGAGTGCGTATACTTTCAGAGCAATTAAAAGCCTGGATTTCAGAGCATTGTGATTTCGACTGTAGCTTCAGCGCAATTGACTTCAATGCCGATTTGTACTACTTAGATCATTCCCGTTGACGGGTGATTTGCTGATAGCACCATCGGAGTCAAAAAAAACTGGCTGAGAAAAAGGCACGGCAAAGGCCTCGGTGGTGCAGTGGAAAACACGTGAACTCCCGGAAAGGATGTATCTCAGCATCGCTGTGGTTTTATTTTACATAATACCCCCCCCCCCCCCCTCGTGAAAGAAACAATTAGTAGATAAAGTTATACATTATTATTAAACTAATATATATTGCTACATCCCCACTATTTTACTGTTTTCGGCGAGGTGGTGTGCAAAAATTGCCGAGCTCTCTTGCAATAATGGCGTTGCTGGAGTGAGCGACCGCGAATGGCTGCTTTGTGTTTCCTCCCCAGTCACATGAATACAAGTTGGTTATAGTCGGAATCGACATATGGGATACAATCCACACCCACCTATCTGTGCACAAATACGGTCACGTGTATGTGCAAATAAAGGCCTATTCAGAGAAAAAGAGACACACCGTAAGAAGAACGTCCTCCTTCAGAACCTCATCGTTATATCCCTATATCCCAGGTGTTACTTTGTCTGCTTAATCCAAAAGGAGCGCGTGTAGCGCAGTAACCGGAGATGCCCTGCAATACAAATGGGATCGATCCCGTGCCCACGACTCACCAAGTCCTCCATCACCCGAGGTCGGCAAATAGATAACATACTTGTCTGAAACGATAACAACACTGACTCGATAAATCGATAGGCCACCGCCCGTTATTGTATAGGCCATAAATGCATTTAATCGTCTCTAAAGATGCTACGAATAGAGTCGAATGCATGGCGTCCCTCAAGCATCGGAGATTGGTAATCATCTAGAGTTTTATACCTTCCACTCCAAAACTAAGGAACTTCTTTAGCAGATATGACTAGATAAGATTTCACTGATACTGTGGGTTGTCGGGCATTCCGACACTGAAAGCTTTCGACAAACACGGCTGTCGTTGCTGCATAGCGACGTCCTATTTTGAAAATGAGTTCTGTGGAACAGTAACGAGCTTTGCTTTCTTATCTCGAGATTCTTTGCCGTTTTAGTGGCTCACTGAGGGCTAAAATTTCATCGCACTTTGCAACTGAACAGCTTTTTCCCACCGAATGACAAAGACTGCTATCATTTAGAATTAATAAAACGTGAATTCTGAACTATATTAGGTCCGGCCTCACTCCCTTAATAACTACATTAGTCTCACATATTAACCCACTTTTGAAGTGGTAAGTACTTTCAAGGGATATAAAATTCGTAGCCAAATGTTTTCTTCTGCATCTGACGTCATAAATATTCAGACGTGACGTGGGTGTCGGATATTTATGTAAAGTGACGTGACAGACGGACGGTTGGCTGGATGGATGCAGGGCGACGCTGTGGGACTCCGCCTTTTCGCATGGCAATCGCCCCTTCCCGAGTCGGTCGGTCAGCTGACCAGCCGTCCCCCATCCAGCGCTCACACTTCGCCAGATGTCACGTTGTATATCCTGAACAGCGACAAGGGTTCTTAGCCGACCGTTCTACTTCTGATGGGGTGCTGTTCGACACAGTGAGGGGACGAGGACTTGGTGGTCAAACGGGAAGAATCCCTGTTGCAACTGTCTGAGTAGGTCAGCTGACCAGCTATGATCCATCCAGCGCCTCCATTTCGCCAGATGTAATGTCGTATATGGTGAACAGCGATAGGGGTTCTGAACCAACCATAGCACTTCTGGTCGGGTTACGTTCAACACAGGGAGGTAACGAGGATTTGGTGGCCAAGCGAAAAGAAATCTCGCTGATCGCGCTGACTCGAACCCACCTCCGTGCCATCCTGCAAATACCCAGTTTCAGCCGTTCACCAGACCAGTTCTGGTCCGCTTTGTTCAATTTTAAGCAATCACGCTTGATGAGAATTATTCTGTACCAATTATCCAGCACAATTTCTTCCTGGAAATCTTTCCTTAATATGCGCACGTAATGAGAAATTCATTTGGAGGTTATGCATTGAAGAAGGTAATAATCTTACCACATGAAAAGAACAATTGGCGAACCACACAGGGGAGTGTCCATTGTGAGGGTTTCGAGCTATGCTACAGGACTTCCACTTTTGCCTGGTTTTGAATGTTTTGCTGATTCAATTGAAATGGTGAATTCCATTTTTCCCATGACCGACTTTCTGTTAACCTCGGCATTAATTGATAATTCAATGTTTTTCATCAATAAGCAGACACGAGGTTGTTAATATAGAATTTATTAGAACTCAATTGCTGACGTTTCGGCGGTTTCGCCTTCTTCAGAGCCTGGAAAGGTCAAATTGAGATGCGAAAGCCGAGCAGTAAGAATATAGTGGTTCACTACCGCTCCTCTCACCCCTCACACACTAAAAGAGCGCTTATAAGAAATATGTTTCGAACCGCCGCTAGCGTGTGCACAGGTAGAGAGCAGAGGGAAGAATCCTCGAAACTGGCGCGACAAATAGCCATCTCAAATGGTTACGAAACTGTAGCTTCTCAGGATAGGCATCGAGGAAATCCCACGCCCCAAAGCGATAATTCTAGTAAAAACAAGGCTCCGTTTCTGTTGCCCTTTATTTCAAACGAAATAAGTGCAGCTATAAAACGCTGCTTAATAAGGGCCGGTCTAGAGAATTTCGTAAGAGTGATAGAAATACCACCGGACACTCTAAGACGCCAGCTAGTTCGCAACCGCCTGTACGACCGTCTATGTACAACAAAAAACTGCATAATTTGCCCAAATGGTAGAGACGGTGATTGCATGAGTTCGGGTACAGTCTATCTGATCTCTTGTAAAGCGTGCGGGCACGAATATGTTGGCGAAACGGGTAGACCGCTCTGCGTCCGCATAAAAGAACACCTAGTCGGTAAATCTAAACTAAAACACAATACTCCACTAGGCGCGCATAGGATGCAAGAACACAACGGAGAAGATTTTGAGGTAGGAGTCACTATCCTTACGCAGGAATCGAAAACATCAGCGCGAAAAACTCTTGAAGCGTTTTGGATCAATGCCAAAAATTCAAAAATGAACCGCAAGGAGGAGTGTCTTGTCATCACGCGTGACCTAGCGCCATACCTCAGGCTGATCCAATGATCTGACATGGACCCAGTTATCGACCATGTATTACTCTGTGCGGCGGCTATCCACCAACTAACTTAAATACTTACAACAAATAAACGGTAGGTGTTTGAATGAAGCTGTTTCTTATGCGAATACAAATCGATTTATCAAGTTTTATCTGCTAGGGTTATGAAAGCGTTTGGCTGAGTAGATCGCATCTCAATTTGACCTTTCCAGGCTCTGAAGAAGGCGAAACCGCCGAAACGTCAGCAATTGAGTTCTAATAAATTCTATATTAACAACCTCGTGTCTGCTTATTGATGAAAAACATTGAATTCCATTTTTGTTAGATGAAATGCTTCTTTGACGTCGCTACTGCTGCTGGTGCCAAACGACGATCCCACTCGAAAATTCGTGCTAATAGCCTACACTGAAGAACGACGGACCCTCTGCACGACGGTACACTTCTCGCAGGTTGTTCGAGTTCCACTGCGTATCGCGATTGCCGGAGTGTTCTGCGCGTCCACGATCACCATCGTTGTCTCGTCGATCGATACGACTATTAATAGGCGCCGCGGCGTCGACGAGCACCACGGCGATAGTCGTCGATCGATACGGTCGGGGCCGGCCACAACTGGTCCTCTCTGGTCGTCTGGCGTCTCTGCGCTCTTATCCCCGGCCGCAGCTCCACCCCCGACGGACCTATTCTTAGCGAGTCCGTCCCGGCGAGCGGGAGCGTTGTTCTTCGGTGTTGTGTTTTGGGTACCGTATTGTCCAGGTCCATGTGTGGTATATTACCATGATATTACAGTATATAGTAGTACCGCAGGTTTTGAGGAGTTACGGAGAGGTGTTTCATCATCGTATGGGGGTGCTTAGCATTCGAACAATCGCGAAGTGTAGTTATGGATGGTCATCTCCTGTTCACATTTTCTTGTTTTCCCTGTTAATCCTTTAACTGTATTCTGTTCTTCTGGATTCCTTAGGTGTTACCACCTTCTTATCAGCGATTGTGCGTCAGTTTGTTGCTACGTCCGTACGACCATTATCTGTCTTTCCAATCAATTCATATTTACTGTTTTGTATCTTCAGAGTATTTAACTATTGTCGGGTTGTCGTCATGGTGTTATGTGCATCCTACAATTTACGTGCCCATTCGACCATGCTACCTCATGCCGGTGAAGATTATCGATACGAGTTGCCATCGTCCGTGCCATCGCATTTTCCGGCTTCGAAGCCAATTTCTCTCAGGTCCGTCATGATTACGTATGATACGTTCACATAGGTGAACCCCAAACGGTGCCTTATCCAAGTAAAATGTTGCGGCTGCGGTGATTTCTTGCACTAGTTTCAAGTCACAGCTTCCTCAAATTACAGCTTGGACGAGTAACGGTGTAGTCGTAAATGTATTTCTCTCGTACGCACGTTATTCTTCCGATGCGTTAAAGTTAGCTTTTCCTTTTCAGTCGCTGAAATTCCTGTTTCGTTTACTAGTCATTATGGTGTAGGATTTGAAGTTGTGTTATCGTATAATAAGACCTTTAGGTCTCCTTGCGGCACGGTTGATGGATCTGGTGTTTCACCACCGATAGAGCAGCTTTACTCTCCCTTATCTTCTTCGCCGGACTCCATAGGCTCCATCAAATCGAGGTTCATTACTAATATCTGAGATCACCCATAAAAAGAAGGATTATTAAACCTTCGATCTGATGATAAGTTCGTAAACGAGAGAGAGGTAGCCACCTAACACCAAATGAGTCCATTTCCTTTTTGGCTGGCATAAATTTCCTTTTCACTCGTTTATAAATATCCTTAGATGAGTTTCACTGTTAGAATGTTGTCACCTTTTGCATTATTTCTCAGTCAGAATTCATTTAGCTCATCGTCACGGTCTTCGGCGGAGCGCGAGATTGAACGTCAGCAGCGTCGACAGCTACTCGACGCTAGCTTGCTCAAAATGCGCGCATCCAACAACATTCCTCTGCGAAAACATCTGCTCGTTTACAACATTGTTAAACAGCTCCAGGTATTTCAAAGTTTGTGTTTTCTGAATTACGTTGGAGGACAGTGTACTCAGCGTTTGATAGGTTTCGTTAACACCACATCATGTCTGATTACAGCGCGATCTGGACCTGTTAGACGACGAGGAGTTGTACTGCAACCTAATGGACGAGAGCTACGGTGAACGTATGGACGTCGACGAACGTCGTTGGCCTTTTGGTGCCACGTCGGCACCTTCAGCTACGTTACCAGCTTGTGCCGTTTCCATTCCGGTCACTGCGCAGGTTGCACCTCCGCAACAAGAGGAGCGCCGCGTAGCTGAAGACTCCACTTCTCTTATTTCTAAAGATCTCGATATGGACATGAGCAAGGTGGTGCAGCAGGAACCGCAGACTCCTGGACTGGAAATGTGGTCATGGGGTGACACCACAATGAAGGGAGATGATCGTACCACATCACAATCAAACTACGATATATTCGAATCGGTTCAGGTACGGATATTCCAACAGTGTTTCGTTGTGTCCCTTAATTCTTGATGTATCCCTTTTTTCCTCCCCAAATTATTTATTCGCCACCAATCATGGTTGTTTGCTCACGAGACATCCGGGTGTGCTTTGTACACCTATTGACGCAACCAGACTGTGCTGTACACACTGTCTCTTCGTCTACCTACAGTCGTAATCGGCGGTGTGTACCATTACTCATAATAATCTGATCTCGTACACATAGCTCTGGCGTTGCTGATAGGTGGCGAGTCTCACGTGACGTCGCGAGCGAATTTATAAGTGAGTTTAGCGAGAAGGGATTCGGGACCACATGCACAATTTTTGTCTTCATGCTTTAGTTTGCTGAAACATTTGTGGGTTAGGTTACATAAAGCAGCCTTCAGAGTTTTATTCATTACTAAATATGGTTGGGGAGACGAGTTACTTGATGGTAGCGGGGCCGTTAGTCGCAAGAACGGTGGTGGTTCCATTGCGCTCCATGCTCACCAGGCCTCTCATCTTCCCGAGATTGAGAAATTTGTGGCGGACTTGTCTAGGCTCAACACATTCTTTCAAATCCACGTAGGAACGCTGTAACCCGGCGATCCTAGAATTTTGGGTGAAACGTCTGGGCAAGCGTCCAACGACATTTTATGAAGAAGACGACAAACACCAGCCGATACCTACCTAGCAAGTTCAAGGATCTTAGTGGATGGTAGATGTAAGGAGACGAATGAAATTCAAGAAGTACGGGGATCCGTACGGTAAATGTAAACATGCGGCATAGTAAAGTGGAAATATATGTTCATATCAGAGTGTAGTTGTAAGAAGGTTGACCAGCCCCTATATAGAAAAGAACTTTGGATTGTTGGTTATATTCAAAGTCACTATTATTACTTTGCTTTGAGTAAGTTTGGTCTAATACGCAAAGTAAAAAATGCCTTGTCTTGTGTTCACAACAGAGGTAAGGTTAGGTTGACTGATACGACAAGGGTTAAGTAGGAATCGCGAGAGCTGTATGGCGAGGTGATAAAGTTGTTGGTCGATAGGTACCGTAGGTTGTTTTGTCTATTGGTTAGCTTAAAAGCGTAGCACAGTACAAGTTTAGGATGCTGTGGACGAGTCGTTTGTCGCATGGAGTTGGACGGTAAGTGGTGCTAGTTTCAACGCTGATGCATGGTGGACTGAACGTTCAAGAGCGACATCGTTTGGTACAACTTCCCGTTTTGAACCTATCTGGAGCATGGGAGCTGATCCGCTCGGCGCGACAAATTTCAGCCGTTTCGAGCTTCAGCATTTGTTCCCATCGCAGGTGCTTCTGCAGGCATAGTCTCCAGTTATGGAATGCTCTTGTTTTCACACCTCACAAACAGCGTTTATGTGCCCTCAAACAGCCACCAATAACACCTGTCTCTATGGCTTCTTTCCTTTAATGTGCATAGTGTAGTTTTAGTTCGATCTCTGGCATTCAACCGAGTTCTTCCTAATTTGGCTTGCTGCCGGCCATCCACTTTTTCCTCAGTTCTCCCGATATCTACTTGTTCGTGATTTTCTTTCCCATTTTTCTCGCTGTTCATTGTTCTCGTGCTTAGCAGGTGTGATATCCAGCTCATTGTGCAAAGATAACCAGAGTATCGTTGTAGTCATAGTTGTGCTCTTTTTTTTTCGCAATTACTATACCGTGCTTGAGTTCTCCGTTTGCCACAAAGTTCATATCTATCTATTATCATACTATTGTGATTGTAAGTTGTGATGGTCTGTAGGATCAACAGTGCTGCTCGCACGGTTTCTCCCACTGCCTTTTTTCGGTTAGGGTCGCCTTGTCTTAGTCAATCTATGCTGACACCCTCATTTACATTCAGAAACCTCATTTTAAAGCGTGTATCTGGCTCTCTAATCAATATTAGCGGTCTTGCTAAATAGTTCCATAGTATAATATTTATCATGTAGGTTGCAAAGTTTCAACTAATTTCATACTGCGTAGTTCTTAGTACGTTGTTTGAAGAGTTGTTACTCTAATCTTTTTTGAATATTTGTCTCTAACGCTTTTCTTTCGCGTCCTCATGATGGTTTCATGAATTGGCCCTTCTTTCGTCTAGGTTTCGCTGATATCCCCTGACATAGTGAGCATAGTGAACTCTTTACCAAGCAGGTCACCACGTTGCGGCTTAGCTGTTGCCTTGTAGCGAAACCTCCTTAGCCTTAGTGCACGTTGGATATTATGCCTCTGTGCAACAGTGTTAATTAGGCTAATACCACCATCTCACCCATCTTCTCATCTTAGCGGGTTACTACCATACCTACTCATACCATGATCAGGCACCTCTTTCCATCTCGTTTGTGTTATATGGGTTTGTACTTGTTCTTTTGTTTTCCGATTCAGAATCTACATGTTCTCAAATGTGATACGTTACCCCTCTCAGTCTGATGTGCATTTTTATCTCTCAGTTAACAAAGTGTAGCTTTATTCGTAATTCATTCATTGACAACCGGTTTTCTGTACTATTTTTCTTGTCTATGTGATCAATCTCATTCCTCATATACCATTCGAGATGTGAACCGTATTCATGTGATGTCCCGCTGCAGATGTGGGACGGAGGTACACAGCACCAACGCGGTCCATGATCCCACTAGTCATGTCATAGTCCTTGGTTCAATGTAAACCTGTGGGGACCAAATGCTCGTAATTGTTGATGTATGCAGAAGAAAACATGGTTAAACAAAGAGCATCTCATCGTCTTCACATGCTTACATCGCTTTTTTGCTTGTCAGTCACAGATGTACCTAGTGGAATTCTATTCTATTTCTCAAATGGTCAAGGTGTTAGTCCATAGTCATTGGTTTGTACATAATTTCTCTTCCATATTGAAAGGTATATATATATATATGTATATATATATATATATATTTATGTAGGGGTGGCGTATCTGACCACATAGCATTCTTTGTGTGTTTGAGTGAGTGTGTGTGTGTGTGTGTGGAGCATTTGCGTCTTGTCATATTTCTTTGCTTGCCTCCTAGGGCCTTCTGCGTGTACAAAGGGTTCTCTGTTCCATTGTATGTTTTGTAACATAGTTATTGATTTCCCATTTAAATTTCATCTATCGTATATTTCGAGTCCGTAGTTTAATATGCCGACATAAATATCATGTTAACAGTTTGGAATTTGAAGTGGAAAAACGTTAAGGACTTTCTACAACGGGAATACGATTTGTTGGAGTCTTAAGGATGTTGGGTTTCATTACTAAATGAAATTAGGAGTCGATTGATCAGTAACGGTGAGGTTGTTGGGAAGATTCTCTTTTGTGTTTGTACTTACCGTGCCAGTGATTTCTGTGCTAAAATACCGTTGAAGTCAGTGTTTACCCCGATATTTACTAGATAAGGAACTAGACAGTCTGCACACTCTGTTTCTAGAAGCAAAGTTGTGCGCAGCCGGACAGTACATATTTTTTTAAAATCCATACACAATCTTGAGAATGTTTTAATGGGAGGGAACAATGCAACGCTTTCATTGGTTATCGTAGCGTTTTTCCTACAATCTCAGAAATCCGGTTTGGCCTAGGCTTTACATAACACATTCGCTACAGTTTTTCGACATAGTACTTTTCTATTATATGGAGAATTGAATGGCTTGAGAACGTGACAGACGTGTAAAAAGGTCTGCGATAGCGATGAACTTTGTTTTAAATTCTCTAGAACGTGACTTGAACGTGAGTTTTAAAACAGTTTCAAGTTGTTCTGATCTTCAAGAACTGAAGAGCGGTGCGAAAGCTTAAAATCCTCAACGTAGTTTCTCGGTAACACGCAACATCAGCGATGCTTTAGTGGTTATGAATGCGTTGTTGTGGACGAAATCGGGATTGCAAATCGCTTTGCTGGTGGGAATACGAGCCTCCGCGTTGTGAAGCGAAAATGGGTCGATTTCGTGGCTTCAGATAATCACAGCTTTGTCGCCGTTGAATAAGAGAACCCAATTCTTGTTGAGAAACTAATGGATATACGTTCAAACAGTTTTTCTTTCACTTAGTAAAGTTTATTAGAAGTTGAGATGCATTTGTTCAAAGTCGAAGGTCTATTTACATTCTGCTATCTCTGCATCTGAATGTGTTACCCTTAAGATCTAAGGGGAAGCTTTGCGTTTGTTAACAAACTGATCATAGAGGTAAATTAGTATTTTTACGGTAACACTAGGAACGAAACAAACCTCTATTGAACTGTGCTGGAGAGGCTCTTAATGGTCGTTTTTGCTCAAAACATCTTTACATTTGACAAGATTAGTAAATGAACTTCTATCTCTGTTATTGTGGTTATGAGCGGGTACAACGCACTGATTAAAGATGCCTTACAGTACACAAGTCGTTGATTCGATCCCTCTTCCTAGTCCAACAAATCCCTGTTCACTAATCTGGAAGGACAAAATCACTATGTGTATCGATAAGCCATTGAAAGTGGTTGTATAGGCGAGGTATGCATTTAGTCACGCTCTAGGATACTTGATGAGGTCGAATGCATGGTGCTAGGGGATTGATCGACGGCGAAAGCCATGTCCTCTTATCCTTTATAGTGGTTAGTTGTGAACTTATGGTGGCCATGGTTTGTTTATCTGGCGTCTTTTGTTTACAGGCGTAACCACAACATTGGCGTGACAGTGCGAAAAAGGAAAGAAAGTTGTTCCAGTGTTTACGCATATAAGAGAATTAAACCGTATTCAGAAGTGAGAACTAACCAGGCTAGCCTGGAATAACATTTTGATGTTTTCACTGTGACCCTTGAACCAAGCGTGATGTTCTTCGTGTTCTAAGTCCTTCGTGACGCCTAATGGGTAAGTACTGTTGAATTGTGGGTACTAACGTTAAACGAAACAAAAGGTTTGCAAAAAAAAAATTGCATGTTTCTTGTGTTTGTTGAGTGGACCTCATTGCACATCTCTGGGTAGCGATGAGAATGAAAACTCGTCACTGGAATCATTCGATGAATGAATAGTGGGATCACAGGTGATAAAGGTGATACTCATCAAGATAGAATACAAACATGTAATTCACGTCAAAATGAAACAAGTAACAATGATATTGTTATTACTAGGAAATTATTGCAAATAATTTTAAAACAGTAGAAAATGAGGAACAAGAGTAAACAGTGTCTACTCGAATCAATAAAGCTGCAAATTTTTGTTATAGCCTTACTGAATGTAACGTGTTATTACGTTGAGCAACATGAACTTATTTGTGAGATCCACAAATTATTCACTGATTCTGCATCAGAAGCATGATTTAGAGCTTCTTTCCAACAAATGCTAACATAAGTTGAAACAGCAATTTGTGAAACCAGGCACTCCAGAAGAAGCCAGTCATCGATACCAAACAATAGATGTGGTTGACACTCGAAGAGTAACAGTCGCACTGTGAAACAAGGACCAATTTTACGATCCGGACAGAAGAAATACGAGTTCATCAGTGTGACTTTGATGACTACCGTGATGATACGAGTTCATTGAATTATTGTAATGATTTAGAGAAATGCTAATTACGGTCGCCAAGGGAATGAAATATTCCCAATGATTCTACGAAATTAGCTCGAGAGTTAGCAGAGTATAAGCCTCTTAACTCGTCATTTACTAAACTATGGGGTCACCTCTAGAGTTCGTCATTTGTTAAGAAGTAGTAAAACAGTGTTCTGTTACTTCTGTTTGAAACCACACGGTTCGTGTTTGCTTTTTCTTCCAGCCCATTTGACTGTTCCAAGGATGTGATAGGTACCATTCGTTGGAAATCGTATGCAAACGGTTCTTTCTTTCATTGCGGTTCTACATTAGCATTCTCTTTCGCTACATTACGAATATGTTAGCTTATATGTTGTTCGCGAAGACGAATTCACATTTATTCCTACAATCAGTATCTGAATAGAACATGTGCAGGACAGTGCATTGTCTTTCGATTCGTTGAGGGTTTTTTTTGTCCGCTTGTTGAATTCCTCTCCAGAAGAAGTAAAATCGTAATCGCGTTAGCAAGAAGAGAATGAGGAATTATGGACGATTGATGGAGCTGCGTTGTACCTTTGAAAACTGTTTGAAATTGAGAGTAATGTGTAAAAATACATTTGTCGAAGTGGAAGAATTCCTGAGAGAATTTTACTTTTTGTTGCTTCCGGTGATTTAAATCTTTCTGTTTGGACGTTGAGAAAAAATAGATTTGTTGTTGTTAGATGTCAGTGGTCGGTTTTTCATCTGTGAGCTCGTTGGTCGTTGAGCGATTTGTTTCGCACCTTTCGGGGGCGTCCACTAGTCCGTCAGCTCGGATCACGTGCATGAGGAAACTACTTATTTTCAGT